TGACATCACAATTTTACTTGGCCTCAGGTGGTGTAGCAGCAGCCGTTCCATGGTCTTCATCACATGTGATGTCAGGGCGACCGGTCTGAAGTCATTTAGCTCACATTGTTTTGTCTTGGAACATTGTCTTGGCATTGAAAGGCTTGTTGTGTGCTCGCACTCAAGTTCAGCTGCCAAACACCTCAGCATGTGGTTGTGCCGCCTATCTGCACGCTGGGGACAGGCTGGATCCTCTCCCACCCAAAGAGGGCATGACATAATATCAGAATCAGAATCAGAATCAGAACTAATTTATTGATCCCTACTGGGAAATTTGTTTTGTTACAGTTGCTCAAGATGCTCACAAGACATTAAAGAAATAGAAATAATAATAAAAATAGAATGTTAAAGGTATGTATTATCTTACAATATATAACACAATATATATTAAAAAAAGGGTCTGAAATATATACATTATAATACAATATATGACAATATATAGAATATATAAATATATGTATGCTACAGTATGTGGCAGACAGATGTGTAATGATTGATGTTATTGTTAAGAGCAGAATCCTTAAAAAATGCAGTATTTGTGACTGAATAAACCAGTATTGCACATTGTCCAGAGTGTTTCACATTAACCTGGGTAACATTTCAATGGCTAGTTTAATGACAATGACTCAGAGTGTCTGACACTTGGCCTTTGACAATGGAAATAATGTGGGATTTGCTAAGTTTGATCTCCATTAATGCTCACTTGATATTGCAGGCATTTGATGCTTGTTTTTGTTGTCATCCATGACTGGAGGAAGAGGCAGCCCATTCTTGAATCGTTCCCCTCTAACCACACATCATGATGCTTGGATGATGAGCTTGAGTGTCTTTGTGAATGTCAAGCGAGCAATGGTACAGCCTGCTATTATGCCAGTGTCAAGGTGCTGCCAAGAGGTGGTGTTGTCCTGTGTTGGAACACAGAACCGGAGATCCTGGAAATAAGGTTTGCTATATAGGCGGTAGTAGCTCAGTGTGTAGGGGCTTG